ATGTTTGGATTAGGACGCAACGGCAAGCGACCGCTCCGCCGTTGGCTCGCAGCTCGGTCGGTTGCTTCTGACTTGCCCGCCTCCGTCCCCTTTCACCTCCTTGAGGATGGGGTTTCCGGTTGCCGCGCAGTCCTCCGTCCGCTGCCCTCCATTAACTCGGTTTTCACCTTTTCCGTGGTCCGTGTTTCACACTGTCCGTTCAGTTTCACCTCTTTAGTGCGTGTGCGAGTGTCCTTTCCGACCGAGCACACACCCAACCTCTAGGGTAACGGACTAGTTCGCCCGAACGAGATGATACATGCCAAACCATAATGACGATGATGTGTGTCAAACCTTAGAGCTGGAATTCTAAACTAAGCTTTACACGCAGATAGTGGGTGGCATACCCTACAAGCCTTGAATGGGGTGATCGGGTCGCAAGCATGGGTGGCAAATCCTCAAGGCTGCGTTGGAAATCCTGGTCCTTCCGAAAAATCAAAATCCAAAGGAGATGCTGAGCACAAAAATTCGAATGTGTTGGGTGATATTCCCAACACCTCAGATCGCGAACAGCGAGCTAGAAATGTGATGGCTGTCAACGGGTTTTGAACCACAAATGATGGGTGGCACAAAATCTTGAGCACCTCTGAGCACCTTCCCCTCAAAAGGGAAATTCAACACAAGTTAAACACTGAAAAGAGTCCCCAAACATCCAAGCCATAGCAGGGGACGACGGGCGACCCATGCAGAACCCGCAGACAGGTCCCTGAGGTCCCGGAGTCTGACGATTCTGACTCAAATGATGGGTCGCAGACCCAAAAAGTGTATGCTAGGTGGCAAATCCTGTTGCCGCAAGAGCGCGACTTGGTCCCGGAAACCCAAGCCCTAAACCCTTGTGAGTGAGATTGTGCCGTAAACAGCCACAAGGCATGACGACGCATAATTAGTCTCTCTGTGCACAAATCGCTAGACATACATGCTTCGTAAGGCAGGGCTTGTTTCCTCGAGACAAGCAATCTTCCACGCCGGCACACATCCGCAAAAACGTCCCAATCAAGACTTCTGGGACAGACTGTGTGTCTTCTGCCCAGATTAGACAGACTTGCACCAGCAGCAGAACTGGCATGCACACCTGAAGGGATGCCTCGCGGCCTTGGCAACCTGATCCCTCCTCTTGAGTGTCGTAATGCGTCGCAGAACCCCCAAGTGTGACCAACGTGTCCCTACTGCGGGCTCCGAAGTGCCAGTCTGATGCGAGTTTTGGACTTGGTGTGGCCTTGGGAGCCTTACCGGACATTCCTGGAATGCTTCTTGGATATCTGGGCTGGGACTGCTAGGTTTCCTCTCACTGTTCCAGCCACGACGACTCGGGAGGTGCTATAGCGACAGCGCAGCTTAAGAAGCAGTCTCTTGTTGGTGAGGGTACACTCGATCTCTGAAATTTGAAACGCGCTCTCTTCACCAGCCGACAACAGCTTGTGTAACCACTCCATTTTGCACCTCGCCTGAAACTTGTACACTTACAGTAAACTCAAACGAGCACCAGCTGGAACGCGGAACTACGATCCTCTTTTGGAAATCCAAGTTCCGAGGCTTCGGCAGTGCAAACGAGGGCCCAGGTTCAATGAAAGGCCAGGCAATGCACTTGGAGGCTGATCGGGGCTCCAGCTCTGGCTTGTGGCCACTGCTCTGCTCCCTGGTCTTCGTGTTCTTTTTGGTCGTCCTTTCTGGTTGGGGTGTGAGCGGGTACCTGAGCTGGATTGGTGGCAAGCATCGGCATGTGATAAGGGCTGACTAGCTTTGGCATTCCATGATCGCTGCGGTATGGTTTCTTTTGGGTTTGTGGCTAGCCGACACGAAAGAAAACACCGCGCTGAGAGTGGCACAGGCATCAGTGTTGAAGATGAAATCACACGACCGTCGGATCGTTGCAGCTGTGCTGGTAGCTTGGATCCCAGAACTGCGTCACGTTTCGATTGAGTGCCGCGATTCATCGGTCAGGCCATGACCCTTCTTGCTCTACTCTTGGGCTTGATGGCATTTCTACTGGGTCGCGGGGCGTGCCTCGCATGGGTTGAGATGAGGGGGTCGTTGAAGGCTCTTGGTGTGCAATGCCCGTGATATCAGGGGGTCGAGGACGGCGTCAGCAAGGCCTTGTTGACACCATGACATGCCAGTGACGCTTGTGCGTGAAGTTACATTTCGAAGCCAATTCTATGTCTATTCTGCTTAGTCCGCTAGTCTTCGGGCGCTGCGTCGCTGCGTGCTGTCTCTTTTGCGCCAGTCGTGAGGCTTTTCGAGGACCTCAAGATGGAGTTAGGCAAGGCAGTGACAGAGAGCTGGAGCCTTGAGCGAGGGCTGCACGGCTGCACGGCCTTTCTGCTCTTGAGGCGAACTGCTTTGGTTGCCCAAGCTATATCTCATGCTGTCGGAGGCTCGACGAGGTGCGGCACATCGCTCCCATATGGCATGTGATTATTTCGGAGCATCTTTTGGGCACACTCTGGTTCCTGCACGCCTGCATGCACAAGTCCTCGCGAATGGGGATCACCAACTCATGTCATGAGTGCAAAACGGCTGTGCGACGACAGGCTGCAAGGACGTGTTTTAATGATGATCCGCGTGTTGTTTTTTGCTCAGCAAAGCCCGATCAAATGTCCTTTTTGGACGGGCATGATTTCCCCAGCTTGCCCAGAACGTCGAGCAATGTCGAGCACCGGAAGGGAGCAACAGCAGCGTGAGTTGCAGGATGCTCGGTCGAGGAATCGGGGTGGTCACCTCCTTCGTCCGAAGCTGAGGGAGCGAAGCAGAGCGGAGCGGGGCCGAGAGCAGACTCGAGCCTAGGCAGGAGCGGTGTTCCAAAAGGCTGCTGCCGGTACTCATGTTCTTGTAGCTGTGGTGACCCCGTGGCATCGGATGCTACAGCCCCTGAGCCGCAGCACAGACATCCAGCAAAAACTGCGGTACCCGAGTGAGCAAGGCATGGCGTGTTCCAAGCGTTTTCAGGCAGGACAACGCGCCAGCTTTCCCGCGTCAGCCTCCTCCTGGTTCAGGCATCGGGCAAGCAGCAAAGTGGCTTGCAGATGCTGCCGATGCGGCTGCGCAAAGTCCATCTGCTACAGCCAAGGTTGGAGAAATAGATGTCACTGTGCTCGAAGTGTGCGAAGAATGCCTTGCCAGGCAGTCCCGGAGTTGCGAGTCACACAGGAGGCGTGAGCATTAGCCGCTCAAAGGGTGTGGCCTCCAGAACCGGCCTCGTGGCCCTGGTCTTTGGACCGTTTGCGAAGCCTGTCTGTATTTTTGCATCCGACGCTTCGTCTGCGTACTGGTGGGCGCCCTTGTTGAGGGCCTTCGGACCTTTGGGGACGAGCAGGTTGACGTCAAACATTTGTCATTTGTCTTTGGGATTGCCGGCGATGGCGCTTAGGCGATTCTTTGGCATCTCTTCGCGACGTCAGCTCAAGCCTGTGACCGTTGAATCAGTTGAAGCCGGAGCTGCGAAATCATGCTGTGTGAGGGATAGGATAGGTAGGGTATGGATGATCGAAGAAACAGGATCATCATACAGCCTCTTTACCAGGTCCACGAGTGGGGCAAGTATCTCGGTACCACAAGCGCGGGAAGTCGGGCAAGTGGCGGAAGCCAGAGAGCGATTCCAGTTCCCCCGCGCGGTGAATCAGTCTGAAACAGCCTCGTCTGATCTCGTCTGCGATAATCAGTGTTGAGCATATCTTGCAATGTCTTGCAGTGTCCGTGACTCGGTTTGGACGGCACATTGCAAGTCATGCAAGTCCGTTGCTTTGACAGCAGGCTCATGGCAACTTTATGGAGCGGCTGCGTGGCGGAAAAGTTTTGCGCAATAGCCGAAAGTGAATTCAAGACAAGATTACATTCATCTGCCAGCATCACGTCCGGCACTCCGTTGACAGGAGCTTTGACAATGTGCATCCATGCAGGTGCACAAAAAGACCTGCAAGGAGATCAGAGAGAGGACGAAGAGGAACAGAGAGGCCAGCCAGCTGGGGGGGACAACATGCTGCATTCAGAGTTTGCATACTGCGAATCGTGACACCCCTGTGCCACAGAGTGCATACATATACAGATACATTGATACATTGGCACGCAAGCATCTGTCTACACATACAGACCTACACCAACATGTTCACAAGCATCAACTGCATTCGTACATGCGTACATGCACATACAGAGACAGATGAAACATAAATGACGGATAGATGGATCAGGCCGAAGCGCATATGGATGCCTGTTGGTGTCTGGCTCTACTTATGTATGCATGCGTTTGTATATGTGTACATGTATGTGCATGTGCAGGGACATGGGCATGGGCACAGGCATGGACATGTGCTTGTGTATGTACGTAGGTATGCAGTCTCTGCGCGAGCTAGCTGTGTTGTGTGTTTCTCGTCGCTCGGCTAGCTCGTACTTAGCCAAAAATCTACTACTACTTCCCGGGAGGAGTTACTTGGGATGGTGGTGGGTTGGATAGGACGCTAGTGCACTACACCTGCACAACGAGAGCAGAGCAGCCCTGACATGGCTCTCACAAGCTTCGCTTCGCAGCGAGTGCGTTCTCTCAAGCGGTATCCACTGGTGCACTGCATGGCAGCAGCAGATGCCCGAGCAGCATAGGCATCAGGGGATGGCTTAGCACGTCTACCCAGTTCGCATGATTCGCTGAACAACGGCACCGCTGGCCTTGAGACGCTTTGTGCAACTCGCTTTTGTTATGTTGGGCACCGTATGCAAGCCAAGCGTTGGCATGTCGCACTGCCAGCAGCGTGTGATAGTACCAGCGCAAAGGTGGGCGTCAAAAAACTGTTTACCACAACGCCACCGCTATGCGATTTCCTCAAGCTCGTGACGACGTTGTCTGCGTGCAATCATGTCAACGTGCAAATAACGCATGTAGCAGGCGTGTTCAGCCCGTGAGCAGACGAGCTCAGCCGCAATAAGCTGCAACGTTTCTCGCACCGCATGCACGAAAGGTCGGCAATGCCCGTCGAGCTGCTAGCGGTGCCTGCAGGGGTTATGCACGTGTACCCATCGGCAGACACATGGCCGGCAAGCTGGCAGACATAAGCAAGCAACGGCCCTGCCGCAGCGCCACTGTGACGCTGGCTCGGCACGAAGCATTGGCTCATGTGCAGGTGTGCTCCTGACCGTGCGCACGAGGGGGGTAGCAGTCGACAGCGGTATGCTCGGAGCTAAAGTGGGGGTTTCTAGCCGCAAAGCATACAGTAAGACGCTTTACCTCAGATTCCGAGCATACCTTGCCGAAAAGAACAGCTGTCCGCTTGCTGTCGTTTGGCTTGTGCTCAGGTTAGTCGCAAAGGAAATTATAGAACAGAACGGAAGGAGTACATATGTCGGCACTCACCGGCAGTTTGTTTTTACACGTCGATCTTACCAAAGCTTTCGAGGTGCTTCCGCGAAAGGTCCTGCCGGCAGCATTGCAATTGGCTGCCGTTCCGATGGACTTAGTTGCCACCCCACCATCCTGGACTTCCACCCTCGTGCGTCAAGTTCTGTCTGAAAGAGCATGATGTCAAAGCTGTTTCTAGACGTGCAAAGTCAACGGTGCCGGTTGGCACCCCAACTCTGTCCATAGTGTCTGGCAGTGTCTGGTCTGATCCTTGAATAAGATAACTTGTCCTTTTTCGCAGACGATCACTCAGGCTGTTGGGAGGTGCGGACCCCATATGATCTACATGCTCTTCGGCTGACTGCTACTCTTCTTGACATTCTTGAGGAAAATGAGCTGGACATCAGCCAGGAAAAGCCAGCCGTGATTCTTGAGTTACGCGGCACTCAGGCAGGCGCACAAAATCCTCAAAGATTTGATCTGTGTACTGCCTACGGAAAAAGGTGTTCGGATTGGACGATGGAAGCTCCCGCTCCAGACCTCGCATGAGTGCCTTGGCATCGTGGTGTCTTCGAACAGTCCACCTTTCGCCGTCGGAAAATAAAGCCATCCAGGCGTTCAAGCGCTTGTTGCATGTACTGCGGAATAGACATGCGCTGTCTGAGAACATCTGCGCCCGGTTGGTTGTGGCGTTGTCTAATCTGGCTGGTACTGAGCTACGGCCTCTCGGCCACTGGGTTGACTCCTGAGCTCGTGCGTGCGTGCGTGCGCCCTGTTGCTAAGCAGCTGCGATGCGAGTCATCTCCCAAACCCACAACTACTTCGCTCACATGACCAGTGCCCAAGTGGTCCAAGTGTTTGAGCGACATAAGATCAGAATCCCGGCTGAGATATTCCAGCGCGAAAGTGATCGGTTGATTGGTAACACCAAGCAGCCTGCTACCTTTCAAACAGCTTCCGACCAGCCTGCGCTCTGGAGTGTCTCACCACTACGCGTTCCACTTTACATTTACACCGAGCCATTGCGCTTGAAGCTGAAGACAGGCGCTGCCGCCTTGTCCAAATAACCAACTCCGCCCGGTGGAGTGCCAAGGACGTGGTCAGCCCTTTCCCGATGAGCTTGGGTTAAGGAAGTATCTTCGGATCCTGCTGAGAGAAGACACTCAGGAGCACAACTTACAAGACTTTTCTGCTGGCGGTATACGTGTATGTTCTGCAGGCCTACAGCCCTTGTGCTGGCCTGCTTGCGCACAAAGCTCAGCGTCGCACTCCGTTTCTGTCAGTCAAACCGGATAACCCTTAGCGACAACCTTTATCAAGCTCAGGTGAGACAGACCCTGGCGCAGGGCTCGTGGACACCTCGTATCGCTTCCTCTCGCGCGGGAAAGCTGCAACGCCGCTGTTCGTTTTGTGATAAGTATGTGCTTAAAGCGGGTTACGTCAAAACACTTGCAGAAGCACGTGCAACATCTTTCGCCTTTCCGCCAGTGTGAAGCTAGGGCTAGGGTTCGTAAGCTGACTGCCGCGCGCCCTTGTTGCTGGTGCGGCAAGGACTTCCAGGCCCGGCGGGGGTGCGTGGAGCATTGCCTTGTAACCTGCGTGCGCATGAAGTTGAAGTGGTGCTACATCCAGATCGGCGCATTGCAGGTGAACAACCCACCCCCACATTCGCCAAATCGCCGCAGAGCTACGACTTTCATGCGGAGCCCAAGGAGGAGCCCTGTCTGCTCTGGACGAACTGAACCAATAATGAAGAATATGGGACCTTCAGCCGCCGAAGATTTGAACCTCGAGATGGACCAGGCGCCAGCCGGAGGCAAGCAAAGACGCAGGACAGCCCTGGACGCACGGCCCGCCGTCAGAAAAATCTCTCCGGGGCGACAGCTCAGCTTCGGAGCTTGGTGCAAGCCATAGGCAAGTTGTGTCTGAGAAACGAGAATGCCATCAATTACCAATATGTTCGCGCAAGACATAAGGCTATCTTTTGCGGCAGTGGGGAGACGGGTTTGCCTGCCAGGCTGTTTCGGGTTGCGCAGGCGTGGACAAAGAAGGCGGAAGCCGGCGCAGCGAAAGTTATATTGAGAGTGACACTTGTGATGTCCATCTTCTCAGAGACCCTGGCACGGTGCAAAGCCATCCATCGCATTCGGACCAGATGCAGCGTGCGAAGGACCAGGAGTTCATGACCGGCAAAGGCGCGGCGACATGTCACCAACGAGTTCTGGGACGCCCTCGAGCCGGAATCCGAAGCAAAACGGGCAAGCTGGAGCTGGAGCACTAGCAGCTCAGGCGCCTTGCTCAGCCCGTGCGCCGAGGCCTACCCTCTGCGCAGGGTTTTGGCAAGATGTTTCAGAGGCAGGCTAAGGGAGCTTTCAAGACCACTGGTTTTGAGCAGTGGCCTGCTAAGATGTGCCAATGGCTGTCTGCTATGCTGCTTTCGTCGTGCCTGCACCCCGCTAAAGACGCCGTTGGGGAGGGGGACGCTGCTAAGCCCGACGACCTGCTACAGGAATCCTTCCCGATAAATGAGCCCGAAGGTCGCCGGGTGCTGAGCGTGACGGGGCCCCCCCGTTTCTGCCGACAGCTGCGGGGGGCAAGGCTTTCCACGACGGAGGGCTATGCTCGCCTGTCAGGTGGCCTCACCACGCTAGGAGCTATGCCGACGGTTCTTTTTGGGGTTGGGTAAGGGATAGGATGTTGGAGCTCATCATCGCTAAGGTGGGCTCGGAAGAGCAGCTAGAGAAGGAGGCCTTCAAGATGGCCGTTGGAGGCGAGCAGGGAGGCCCCGGACCTCTCGGAACCTGGACTGCTAGAGGTGGAATGGTGATCGGCCGCTATACTTCAAGCTCATCCGGGCAACTTCCTCCGCCAAGATGAGGAAGGGCTACCAGTGGAGATTTTGGACCCGATACCCAGGACTCCGGACGTCTTCGAGGAGCAGCTAAAGTGGCCCTGGAGAATGCTCCGTGGGAGGCCTCGGTAGGTTGGGTCCCTAACTACGGCTCCGTCGAGGACCACAAGGAGTTAGCGCACCGCTATCGCAGCCCTAGCGGTGATCGTGGAGGATGAGGCCGCGGACAAGAGACGGAGACACCGCCTTCTCGGTAGTGGGGGACATCGCTAAGGCCCACCGCCGCTACCAGCACGCAGCTGAGGAGCATGGCTACTTGGTCTGCCAGGTGGATACTAAAGAAGTTGTCCCGGGCGACCCCGCTAGCCAAACTGTCTACGTGAACCTGGTTGGCAATTTCGGGCTATCCTGCGCGAGCTATACTGGTGGACGCGGATCGTTGCCTGTGGATTGAGGCTCACCTACCACCTAGGACCTCGCTTCCCGCTAGACATGCTCCTCTACGCGGACGACTTCGGGTCCATGGGCAGGGGCGCTAAGGGACGATTGGCTAAGACGCTAAGAAGACTTCTCGTGTGGCGATCCGGGGCTACACCGACAATCAGTCGAACGAGGCCCTGCTAAGGAAAGCTATGACCACCAAGTTCCCGTCGACGCTAGTCCTCATGGAGCTAGCGGAGGAGCTCTCTGCGAAAAACTGTGAGCTCCAGCTACAGTGGATCAGACGGGACCTGAGTCAGCTAGCAGACGACCTCACGAACGAGAACTTCGCTAGC